GGGAAAAAAAGAAAGGGGGTATTACGATTAGCATGTATAGTGGGGTGGGGGGACACGGGGAGGGCTGTGCTACACAGACAAGACAAGTAGTGATTTTACAGCATCTTACTATGTTTATGGACAGTGACTGTGAACGGGGACATGGGGGGGACTTGGTGAAGGGGGGAGCCTAGTAAACATAATGTCCTTCATGTAATTGTAGATTAATGATACCAAAATAAAATTTTAAAAAAAATCCGGTTCCATGTTTGCCTCCTGTCAAAAGGAAAGCTTCTCTCCCCGTCCATTTATTTGGTCACATAGATTCAAGAACTCGTTATAGAAATGACTCATTAACATGTGGCTTTGGGCCAGACAGTATTATTCCCTGAAGTGTGTGATGGGCAGGTGTCCCGTGCATCAAGAGTCCCCAGTGATCCCAGCACTGTGATACTGTATTACTGTGCTCCTAGCGAAAAGCCCGACTGCTGAGGAGGCAGAGAATAGAATGAAGAGTATGCTAGAGAGGGTAGTCACTGGCAGGGACACTAGGCCCGCAGTCCCCACACCCATGTCCAGGGTGCCAAAGGAGTCCCCTTCTCTGGTAGCTGCCCTCACTCTCCCCACAAGGCCTACTGTACCCCGGGGCCCCTGCAGCTCTGAGCTCCTCCTCTACTTCAGGAGGGCTTGGGGTTCCCTCCCAAGGCTTTACTGTTCCTTTCTGCTTTGTTCCTCTGCTAAAGCAAGTTCCAGAAGAGTGTCCAGCTCATGGAGTTATCAATGGCATCCCAAGACCCTGACTACTTCTCCGTGCTCCCTGGGGATCCTCGTTTCCTCCGCACATCCTGCCCTTCCCTAAACGGTGAGAGGTGCAGCCAAAACAGCCCAGACTCTGGCCACTAACATGCCATCTCATGAACCCTGCAGACACCAAGGTCCACATCAGGGTGCAGCCAGCCCACCACCTCTTCACCTGCCAAAAGATACAGAATGTGGGAATCCAGGTGATTCACTGAGGCCCAGCACACAGAGTTCACCTGGTGAGGAAGCACACAGCAAGACAGAAAAATCGGTTCGACTGCCAAGTCATGGACAGAAATAGATACTTTCTTGTGGAATAAACTGAGGGGATACTGACATGTGGTTTCTTTTTTCAAGCCTCATTCCTTTCAAGGGGGCTAGCCCAAGCATCCTGAGAACAGGAAGCTCCCTGCCCTATCATGTAGAGCCTTGAGAGGACAGGAAGGGGAGGAAGAAACCCTCAGGCCTTGATCCCTCATCATCAGTATGGACCTCACAGTGACCACCTGGTATGCCCTCTGGGACAGGGACGAACTGTCTACAATTCCGGGACAAGCCTGACTTTGAAAGCAAACTGTATCTCACTTCACCCAGATACCATTTTCAACCTGCATCCATCCTGTGGCTCATGTCCCAGCTGAGAAGTCACAGCTTCTTACAGATGCAGCCAATACCCCACTATAATTTAAAGGTTGCTCCTTAGATAGCAAGCTCCTAATGCTTATGTAGTCCTCAATGTCAGCCACAGACTGGCTGAGTGACCGATGCCTTACCCTGACGCACTGGGGGATCCCCTCAGGCTACTGCAGTCCACCTCCGGGCACTCGGGGCCTTGGTGGGGGCTCCTTCAGACCCACTCAGTCCTCCTGGAAGGGAAGGTCTTCACAACCAGCCAGAGAGGCACTGCACTTTGAGCCTTTCCCCAACTGCCCAATTTCATTTCTCTTCTAAGACAAACTAGCGAGGCCCTTCTCCTCCCCTATGGGTTCTCAGGATCTCAAATTCCATTTCCTCTTGGGAAGATGAGGTACCCAAGCCCTGCCTTCTTCACAGACTTCTCTCCTCTCCTCTGAACTGGGCTAACTACTGCAGGGCCCTGGAGGCAGAGGGTAAGAGGGGTTGGCAAGTCTGAAGGGAAGCGCAAGGTACCTTCTGGTTGGTAAAGTAGAGGTTTTCATGCATATACACTTTGAGCGAGGGCATCTTCAGATCACACAAGTTGATGATGCCGTACTTGGAGCCTCCACCTTTGACATCGTTCACTGTGAAGAGCCGGTCGCTGTTGGTATCTGCCTGAGGGGGGAGGGGGGAGCTGACTGCAGATGACCTTCCAGGCCGAGTCTGTGGGCTCAGACCATCTGCCCTCTCTCCCCGCCTCATGCTCTATGCATTTTCATCTGGAGAGATGATGCCTTATCCTGACGCACTGGGAGACACATCCCATCCCTGAGGGAGGGTGGGGATGACCTTACTTGTCCCCGCTCAGCTTAGCCATCACTGAGCAAGGCCAGCAGGTGTCTGGTCTCAGAGATCAGGAGCAGAAGGAGTGCAGTGAGAGGGCATGGCCAGAAGTCTGAGGTCTGCACAGTGACCCACTCAGAACTGCATCTGGATGACCCCCAGTGCCCACCCAAAGGAACTAACTGTTCAGATGAGCAACATGGTGAAAGAGCATGTGGCCGGCATGAAGGCCAAGCAGTGATGTGGAAAATGCTAGTTTTATCTGTCAAGGAGTGAAAAGAGGATACAAACTGGATTCTTGTTAGACAGGCATTATTTTTTTTCTTTTACCACCAAGTAAAAATAAACCATTGCATTAAAAAAAATTTTAATAGAAAAGACTGCATTGGGATGTGAGATATTTTTTGAAGTTCTTTGTCATTAAAAAATTGTGGTTAATAAGTATTTCAAAGCCAAAAACTCTATGTGTTTTATATATATTTATAATACTAATACACAGACGTTTGGATGGTGGTGAAACTGCACTCACTTTGCAAACTTCTCAGGAAGCACAGTTATGTTCCTGAAAGGCATTAGCAGTGACTAGCATCAGATCCAAAAAACTGATTCCAGGGAGGCAAACTGCCCTCCCCAACCCTCCAGTCATAGCAGCCAGCCAGTCATCTCTAGCTATAGAGGGTGGGGAAGACCTCCCAGGGGCCAGCAGACGGGTCATGTGAGACAAAGTCCAAGGACTGGGGGCCTCAGGCATAGTGAGCAGTGCATGTATTGCTCCCTGTTTACTAAGAACCCCAGGTAAGGGGCTCCAGAGGGGAACCCACAACAAGAAGTAATCTTTCTGGTTCAGGTCGACTGTACCCCTGAACACACAGCCAAATAAGCAGGGAAGCCACAGGAGAGAATGGGTCCTGGCCCCCCAATGCCCCTTACATGGAAGGGCTCCCCTGTGGAGGTCTCCTGAGGCCAGTTCTGTAGCTCAGCCTCCAGGCTGTCAGCAGATCATGGGCCAGAGCACCTTTGCTCTCTCCTTGGCTTCCCTCAGCCTCCAGGAAGGACAGGGCTTGTGGGCAGGCCATGTCCTCCTGTGGCCTCCAGTTCTCAGTCTAGCTGGGTGGTCTGGCTCCTTCTGTTTGCAGGGGATTCCCTGATCCCCTGCCAACATTTCCCTGGGCCCTGGGCTCAAGCAGTTGGCACTGGCTTCTGGTGTTCGCTTCCAACCCAGGTCTAACCCAAAGCTGAGACTCTGCACTCCCTGCACATGACAGGAAGACAGGGCGCTGGATGTGCAGGCCTGGGGACACAGGTCTGAAGGGCCCTGCCACTCAGGTCAGGGACAACAAACAGGGGAGTAATACACTGATGCTGCTGAAGGACCTTGGAGCTTCCAGCACCAGATCCTGCTCCAATATAGGAAGCTGTACACAGTACACCCCAGAGAAAGTCACTTTGTGATGGTTCTCAGTCAATGTGTGGTAGGCCTAGGCTCTCATGTCAAATGACAGAGCTGTAGTGGGTGACAATAGTCACCAAGGCCTGCCTTGCCAGCTCAGTGCCTGCCAATGGTAGCCAGCAGGTGCTTGTTAGGGCTGTAAAACCAAGAGGATGCCATCTACTTTCATGGCAGCCAGCTTCTCTGCAGCCGGGCTGGACAGAAGCCAATGCTAAGCCATGACATGTCAGGGGACGGCAGCCAGACGCCTGGACAGCTCCCTCCCACTCACCAGTATAAGGTTATATCGGTCGCTTGCCAAAGAAGAGGGATCCGAGCTCTGAATTTGGACCTTTTTCCTTTGCATGCAGCTCACTCGCAGCTCATGGGCTAAACTGCAGAGGGGAAAGATGAGGGCAGGGAGGACATGGACGACAATACCTAGATATCCATGAGGAAGATTCAGGGGTTCTGCCCCATCCTGAAGACCATCTCTCCTAGTCAGTCCTCTCTTCTCCATGTTAATTCTCATCAATGGAGTTGAGCAAGATCCCAAATAATTAAGTTTTCTTAGAACTCTTAAGAAAACTAAAGCAGAAAAATGGGTGGCCCATTCACAAGGTCAAAGCAAGTAAGAACTACAGGAATTTCTTTTTGGATCATCTCATACAACTCTTTCTCTTGAGATGAAGAGACTGAAGAATAAAACAACATGCCAAAGATTGCACAGTGAGTAAGCCAAGTACGGAGCCACCCAGCTTCCTGCCCTTTCCCTCTCCCTGTCGCAGCTACCTCCCCACTAAGGACAAAGCATGTTTAGGGTAAAGAACACATCTATCTAGCTAGACCTTTAACTCTTTTCCCTTTCAGAAGAAGGGAAATACGGGAGAGGCATGCCCTACCTACCTCTTGCATGGCTGGGCCTTCCCTGAAGGGGGAGCCCTGCTCCAAGATGAGAGAGTTGTGCCCCTCATCAAAATCATGTTTCTTTGCCTCTCCACACACAGCAGGAGGCAGCAGAATGCAGGGTTAAGGGCTCAGGTGCTGAAGTCAGATCTCCACCCTCTTTACCTCAAACCAATCACTCCACCATGACCCTCAGTCTCTTCTTCTAGATACTGGGGGAATTATCAACGTATCTCACAGGGTTTTAGTTAGTATGTATCAGACATGACAAGTATTTAGATGAAGTTTAGTACATATACATCCATACAGGTATCTCATGGGAATGACATTACAGGACTTTCTATTAAACGAAAAATGATTTGAGTAACACAGAGGAACCATCTTGAGAAATTTCTGTTCTATTTCTCTGCCTAGATCTCCTCTCCTTTCTCCTTGGCCTCCTGCAGGAATAGCTCCTCTTGCTCTAGAGGGACAGTGATTCTCTCAGGGCTGGTTTTAGCAGCAAAAGGCAGGCTGTGAGCTGGGGCCCCCTACTATGAAGATTCCTCACAGAGTAGCTACATAGGATAATCTTAATTGGATTCTTGGACCAAGGAAATAAAAAATAGGAGAACACTTACAAAGAAAGCCTTACAATGAGGCAGTCTTACCGGCAATAACTGGTGACATTGAGAAAACCCAGCTTGCTTTTTTGTAGCAAGAAAGATGTATTAAATCCCACTCTGGCTGTTTTCTACAAAAATAAACAAGTAAGTAAATAAATAAAAATATATGAGAGAGAAAGAGAGTCAGTGAAGTTCATGTTATAATACAACAGAGAATGTTTTTAGTTGCATGCGATACAATACAGAAACAGGTGCCAAGTTGGGAGAGATTAGCACACAACAATCTGATGGTCTCCTGTGCTAGTCTCCTCTCCCTGGCAAGAGGAAAAGCCCATCACAGGACAGCATGAGCTGGAAAGTCTGTTCAACACCTCTGTCTAAGCCCTACATCAGTCTGTAAGCGGGGAGATGGATCCCCAGCACCAGTGCGTGCAGGAATGGCACTGAACCTCAGGTCTGCCTCACACTTTCCATTGGTGACCCGGGTTTCACTCCACTGCCCCCAGTACCATCAAAATATCCTGGCATCTAATCCTCATACAAGAAAACCTTATATCCAAACCAAACACTCTGGTTTTCTACTTAAATACGTGGAGACTGAAAATGTATCGTGCTGCTTCCCAAGACTGCCCTGAGGAAGGACAAAATATGTGAACTACTAATGAAACTTAGCCAATAAAAAAAGGGGTAGGTGGGTGGGAGATTTCTTGCCCATTCTTATTCTCTTCATCAGTCCCTGTTCGGAAATCGGGCACCACGCTCCCTCAAAGACACTAAGCCCTGTGTTATGGAGGCATCTCATGGGTAGGGGACGGATGCTGGTAGGAGTGGAGGGGACATGGTGGCCCCCAGGAGGGTGGAGCCCACCTTTTTCTGCCTGTCTTCCTCCAGCAGCTGTAGCCTTTTGCTCTCCATCTCCTTGTGCCGGATACTCTCCTTTGTGAGGGGGTTGCAGTTGTTATGTCCAGGGAGCAAGCGGAAGTAGCGCTGCTTTTCAGGATCAAAGTAATATCCTGGGAGATCTGGAGTCAAAAGAAACAAAATTCACTTCAACTTACAACACTGTGAACTGATGCACCTACAGGAACCCAACAGCCTGTCCCCCAACCCCTTGCAGATTCTTCATTTCTGAGGGGCAGATGGGCCAGCATTGCCGGTCTCCACCCTGAGCCCAGTTCGGTGCCAGGGGAGCTGTTTGTCTCAGCACTGCTGCTCCTGACACACCCGGCACCTCCCTTCAATGTTCCAATCTCCCAGACTTTCCTCCAAGTCAGGCATGGTGACACATATGGAGTGGACCCACATGCAAGTGACGGCACACAGGGCCGAGAAGGAAGGGCAGCCAGAACAGACATGACCAGGTGACCAGGCAGGACAAGGTTTCATCTTCCCTGCGGGTTGGGCCAGAGGAGTCCTAGTACCCAGCAGACTGCCTTACCTGGTGCAGAAGAACTCCCATCTGTACTGGATGAGGTCGATGGGGCCTCATCACCGCCAGGGCCAGAATCCTGGAGGCTTTGCCATATCCCTGCGTTACACCTGCTGACACACAGTCATGGTACGTGCAGTGAAGGGCTTGAGTCCCAGTCATTCTCTGACTGTGGGGTCCTGCAGGGGGCAGTTCAGGCAGTTCTGCAGCCTTCACCCTGACCCTCTGACCCTTCTGATTACTTGGGGAGCACTGACCCTTCTTTTGAAAGCAATTTACCTACTTCGAACACACCACTAGGGCAAGGTTTTGGTTTCTCATCCTGAACAGGATTATATATCACAATAATTTCCTTTTCTTACTTGCTCACTTAAGCATTTTGTAAGGTGTTTTGGAATTTTCCAGATGAAAAGGAAAACACAAATCTTTGCCAATAACAATTTTACCAGCTGGACTCACTTGTCAGCTCAACAGCAGTTACAAGGCCAGGTGAATTTCATTCTTTATTGGATTCAGCAGGACAAAGAGTTTAAATTTTACTTGGCTACCTACCCTTACACCTGGAGAAACTGGGGTCCAGTAATACTGAGAGGAGGGACATGATCAGTAATATGGGGGTAAAGCCATGGTTTAAATGCTTGATGTGCAAAGCTTTACACAGCTTCTGTAGCAGTCACAGGCTGAAGGATATAGTAACAGAGCAAAAGACTTTATTTTAGAGTCCTGATATAATCGGCTCTAAAAACCGTAACTGCCCCTAACCAGAGAATACAAATTGCAAAACTAGGTTGAAGGGATCAAAGAACTTTCTTTTGTCTGTAAATACTAACTTATGCATGGTTTCAGAAAAAATGATTTATTCTCCCTTTTTAAGGTCTACAGCTTCCTGAGGCAGGTCATCTGTGATCATTAGCAGCAAGAGGAAGAAGGATTCAGTGTCATGACAAATGACTACATTTCCAGCCCAAGGACTGCTGCCCATTCTTTCCATACAGCCCAGAAGGTGGCTGTCCAGCATGTTTCCACACAACTCTGCCAAAGCTGAGTGGAGGCTCTCTTGCACAGATCACATTTTGCTACACATTGTGCTCTTGTGGTAAGTCCTAGGCCCCAAAAAGCATCCATGGTTTTCCTTATAGAACAGACAAACATTGGGCACTGTCCTGATCTTTCCACAATATGGGTCACAACTGGGACTGGCTGAGAGTAAGAGATTTTATTCAGCACCTAATGAGGCCCACCACTTATGAGGGGTGTACTCAGAGCTAGGCAACCATTAGAGGCTTTACATACGCTATTGCCAACCTCACAAGAGAAGCAATGGCTCTGCTTTGTACAAGAAGAGGGACTCAGGATGATTAAGTGACTTGCTCAATTTCACATAGGAAAATGCAGTGTGAAACCTCAACTCCTAATTCCAAAGCCCTTGTTCTTTTCGTATTTTGATGATTTTTGTTACTGTTTGGCTTAAGCTGTTCTAGGGAAGCACCTTGGTATTTGACATCTTCTGACTATATAACTGAAATTTGTTCATTTAAAAAGGAAGTCTCAAGTGTGGGAGAGTTGCAAAACTGGTGTATGGATCTCCTTTGCTGAGGAGAGTGCTGTGCAAAGACTTCTTATGGCCAGAAGTCCCGTCAGCCCTGAACTGTGAAAAGGTGTCCTCTCCTGGCCTGGGGTGCCAGAGGGTGTTGTTCTGAGACTACATTGTTTGTATTTTCTTCATGCAGAAAAATAGTGGAGTGTGGAAAATGTTTATTCTGGGGACCTCAACTAAGTATTGACTAAGTTTTATTTTTTAAGTTGGGTGGTGGGTATACAGTGTTCACTTTATTTGTCTTTATGCTTTTTCTGTGTTTATTAAATACTGCATTACATATTTAGCCTTTCAATTAGATTCCCAGAAATCTATTTCCATTCACTGAAAAACAAAAAAAAAGACAGAACAAGCCTACAAAATGGAGAAACAGCTCTGCAGTTATATCAGGTAATGTCTACTTCTGGGCTTACAGTTAATGTTCTGGCCAGAAGTCACTGCTACTCTAAAAAGAAAGAACAGTGTGGCCCTATCTCCTCACTAGTCAAAGCGTGGCAGGCAGGCTGACCTCCAACAGCGACATCTCCTGGGAACCTGTTAGGTCTGCAGACTCTCCTCAGGCCCCACCTCAGACCCTGCATTTTGACGAGATTCCCAGTGATTCATCCGCACGTGAGGGTGCTGGAAAAATGCTAGGATGGCTTTGGGCAGTAGCGCTTGCCTCTCAGAACTGTGTTGTCTGATCCAAGGGTTCTGCTGGTGGCTCCTTCTCCTGCGTCTCCTATTCTGCCAGCTGTTTTTATTCATTTCTGCTCCTAGAAGAGAAAAAAAATGACAGGCAAACTTGTGTGCACGTGTTCTTCTCTTGCTTGCTTCTTCATAGTTCCTTTATGCTCAGAACTAGAAAGGGATGGGTCAGCCTGGGCTGTCATCAAGCCACCTCGCCAAGCCTCACCTGTACGGGGCTGCCCTGAGGTAGAGACAGCGATAAAATGCAATGCTTCTGTGGCTACCTCTCCAGGGGTACAGTGACTTCTTACCTCACAGCTGATGCCTGGCCTGACAAGCCCTATTCCCTGGGTCACCACGCGAGAAGATGACATTCTCAGTTACTTTAAGATGACAGTTTTCATCTTGCATGAGAATTCTTCTAGTTTCTTTTTTTTCCTTACCAGATAATACCAGAGCATGTAGTAATTTTTCTTTCAATCGACACACATCCCTATTCATGGAGAATAGTTGACAGTGAGCACTTTTTCCTACAAAGTCAGTACTGTGTAAGGGAAATTGTGGACATAATTAAATGGCAGGCAGTATGTATGACTTCTCAATGTACTTTATAAAGTGTCTGTTTCCTGAAAACACTAGTTTTAAAGGGATGGATGTGCATATGCAATTTTTGAAATAAGGACATAAAAGCACTTCTTAGTGACACTGATATTGCCATAATATTTTGAGTGACTTGAAAAAGTCTTATCTTGAATAACCTGACTCTATCACTTAATCATCAAAACAATACTAGTTTTAACATGGAATCACATTAGGAGTTCTCAAAAAGACTGAATTTTGATGACTTTTTGGAAAATGGGCAATACTTATCAAGTAACTTACAAATGTACATGGTCCTAAAAAAATAATCCAGAAGATTGTAAAAATTATATGCAAGATATTTACAACTGTATAACTCATTTCATGAGGCTAGTATTACCATTATCAAAACCAGGCAATCATAAAAAAACCATAGGTCAATATACCTTAGGAACATAGACACAAAGCCTCAGCAAAATGCTAGAAAACCAAATCCAGAAGCATAAAAAGGGCTTATACAACATGACCAACTAGGATTTACCCCAGAAATGTAAGGCTGGTTCAACATATAAAAAATCAGTGTAATACACATATTAATTGAATAAATGGGAGGAAAAACTACACATGGTTATCTGTTCAGTAGATTCAGAAAAAGCATTGGAGAAAATCCAATACCCTTTGATGATAAAAAAAATAAAAGGTAACTTCCTGAACTTGATAAAGGGCATCTACTAAAAATCCACAACTAACATCACACTTAATGGTGAAAGACTGTCAGTTTTTTTCCCCAAAGATCAGGAAAAAAACAAAACAAGGATGTCTGTTCTCACTTCTATTCGAATTCTAGCCAAGGGCAATTAGGCAAGAAAAAGAAATAAAAGGAATTCAAACAGTAAAGGAATTATAGCTTATTTTGAAACAACCTTATATTTCTAGGGTAAATACTATATATAGAAAATCCTAAAGGCATGTTCCTATCTATAGAAAATCCTTAAGAATCCACAAAAAAACTACTAGAACTAATAAATGAGGTAAGCAAGGTTGTAAGACACAAGATTAACATATAAAAATCTGTTGTTTTTCTATACACTAGCAATGAACAATCTGAGAATGAAATCAAACAATTCTGTTTACAGTAGCATCAAAAAAATATGTAGGAATAAATTAAAATACTTGTGTGACTTATACACTGAAACTATAAAACACTGCTGAAAGAAATTAGAGGACATAAATAAATGCAAACACACCCATATCATGGACTGGAAAACTTTAGGATGGTGTCCAAATTGATCCAGAGATTTAAGATTTAATACAGTCCCCATCAAAATTCCAAATATTTTTGGAGATGGACAAGGTGGTCCTAAATTCATATGGGTATCCAAGTGACCCGGAATAGTCAAAACCTTGAAAAGAGCAAAGATGGAGGACTCACTCACATGTCCCAATTTCAAAACTTACTGCAAAGACCCAGTGTTCAAGACACTGTGGTACTGACACAAGGACAGAAATATACATCAGTGAAGTGGAATTGAGAGTCCAGAAATAAACCCGTATATCTATGGCCAACTGATTTTTGACAAAGGTGCCAAGACCATTCAATGGGGGAAAGAATAGTCTTTTCAACTTCTGGGACAACTGGATATTCACTTGTAAAAAGAATGAATTTGGATTCCTATTTCACATCATATATAAAAGTTAACTCAAATGGATCCAAGACTTGAAACTATAAAACTCTTAGAACAAAGGTGTAAATCATCACGATCTTGTTTCTTAGTTATAGCACCCAAAGCACAAGAAAAAATAAACTGGACTTCATCAAAATTAAAAACTTTTGTGTATCAAAGGACACAATTAAGAAAGTGAAAAGACAACACAGAATGGAAGAAATTTTCTTATTGAAGTATCGTTGATATACAATCTTACATTGGTTTCAAGTATACAACAGTGGTTCAACAGTTACCCATACTATTAATTCCTCACCCCCACTAGTGCAGTTACTATCTGTCAACATAGGAAGATGTTACAGAATCACTGGCTGTATTCTCCATGCTGTGCTACTATCCCCATGACGAACTTCTATTATGATTGAGAATATTTTTGCTCCTTTATCCCCCTCACCCTCCCCACCCATGCACCTCCAACCCCTCCCCCATGGTAACCACCAGCCACTTCTCAGTGTCTGTGAGTCCACTAATATTTTGTTCATTTTGCTTTGTTTTTCTATTCCATGAATAAGTGAAATCATATAGTATCTGTCTTTCTCCACCTAGCTTATTTCACTGAGCTTAACACCTGCTAAGTCCATCCATGTTGTTGCAGATTGCAAGGCTTCATTTTTTTTAATGGCTGAATAATATTCCATTGTGTATATGTGCCACATCTTCTTGGGAGAAAATATTTTTAAATCATGTATTTGATAAGGATTTAATATCCAGGATATATAAACAACTCAACAAGAAAAACAACTCAGTAAAAAAATAAGCGGGAAACTTGAAGACTTATCTTCAAAGATGTACAAATGGCCACTTAGAACATGAAAAGATACTCAACATCATTAGTCATCTTAAGCAGATGCAAAACAAAAGCACAGTAAGTTACCACTTCATACCTTCTGGGATAGCTATATAAAAAAACAGACAAACAAAAAAACAGAGTACATATTGGTGAAGATGTGGAGAAACTGGAACTCTCATACACTGCTGGTAGGAACATAAAATGCTATAGCCACTTTGGAAAAGAGTTTGGCAGCACCTCAAAAGGTTCAACATAGAGTCACCATGACCTAGCAAAACCCAGCAGAAATCAAAACATGGCCATACAAAAATTTAGACAGTAATGTTCACAGCATTATTCCTAATTTCCCAAAAGTGGAACCAGCCCAAATTTCCACCAACTGATGAATGGATAGACAAATGTGGCACATCTATACAACAGAATGTTATTCAGCCATTAAAACAAAAAGTAGTGATACATGCCACATAGCAGATGAACCTTGAAAACATTATGCTAAGTGAAAGAAGCCAGACACAATGGCCACATAAAGTATATGAAATCTCCAGAACAGGCAAATGGTGGGAGGTGGGGGGAGAAGGCTGGGGATAGGGGAGGAGTAAGTAGAAAATAGGGAGTGACTAATGGTACAAAAGTCCTTTTTGTTTTTTAAATAAAAGCTTCTTTAAAGTATGTTTTTCAGTTATGAGTAACTGCTTTTTCCAATTACCCCAAATGAGTTGATAAAGGCTCTGATTAAACTGCTTCATATTTTCAGAAATGAGTGACTGTTACAGCCTTTCATTATCTAGCTGGTAGCCTGGTTTTTCATAGAATTTTTAAATGATTTATGATGTTCCATGCATACCTGTCTATGCATTTCTAGGGAACACTCCACCAAATTACTAGCTTTCCAACAGCTGCAGTACCATATATACTACCTTAGTATGACGGCAGTTTGTTTTAAAACCAGAATCAAGTTGAATGTGACTTTTACTTAAAGTTTATGCTTTGTGCATTTGTAAAACACTGATATATTGTTGTCATATTTCCTTTAGTCTGTTTGATTACATGCTTGTTGAAAGGTAAATTTACAGATCAAATGATTCGATTCAGTAGAAGTTAAAAAAAACGACTTCTTAAAGTTCAACGGAAAAGAATTTGTATTTAGTCAAAAACACTAGATAGAATCCTTTTCTGAAGCTAAGTGGAACTGGTAGATCTTTTGGTTTTTGTTATCTACTTACTACAGCACTTCCAACCAGGTATGGTGCAATAATTTGTGATACTTTGAAATCCATAATCATTAAAAAAAAAGCGGGGGGATAATCATATAGAAAATCACATATCACTAGGAAGGAGGCTGAAATGAGTGGATGTGTAATGTATTTTAAAACCTTCACTTTGGATCAGCATAAATTTCCTCTAATTCCTCCCCTACCCATTTGCAGTAGTAGCATTTCTCTTTGAGGTTTAACACAGCAAGCCAATATAAAGTTTTACAATTCGGTGATCCTGGATTCTGAGCCATTTTAAGATGAAAATGGAAATGGGAAGGGTATTTAGGAAAATTAGTTTTCTTCTCTAACATCTATATCATCTGTTTGTTGATCCTTTCTTGGCCAAACAAGTGCACATCTGTCTTGTTCCAGATACACATTTCATTGGCAACAATCTCTAAAAAGGCAACTGTGAATTTGCTCTTACAATACCTAAATGAGATGAATAAGCTGGTGGACACCTGGAACTTCTGAAAACCTTTAAATCTCCTTTCTCATCAATCTTTTGTATATTTTGATATATCTGTAAGGCTTTGCTGTGAAACAGCATTTCAATAGGGATAAACTTCTAAATATACAGGCTTTATATTCTTTATGCCAACATATACAGTCTTTATATTCAAAACTGCCAAGAGTTCCTCCAGATGAGAGCTGTCTCAGTAGTGTCCTCTGTAGCTCTGGGTTCAACATGTCCAACGAGGGTTTGCTGACTTGTCTTCTCTAATTCGGGTAACGGGCTCAGCTTCTCCACTCCTTGCTGTTAATGTTTCTGTGAGGCCATGCCATTTCATTTTTACAATGGTTCCACGAATTTTCAAAGGTTCAACTCCTTCAGCTCCAAGTCTTTCAACTTCACTTGTTGATAATCCTGAAGGTGGGCAAACTCCTGAGCAGTTTTTCAGGCTTGCTTTCAAATCTGGGTTCTCAGTAGAGGCCTACTCCTGGGTCACCTCCCAGTCTGGTGGTTTTCCGCACAGAAGGGGCACAGCTCTCCAGAATGCATTTCGTGGTTTGAGCATTCTGCAGTTTCCGGAAAACTGGCTCTTCCCCTCCCCAAGATGCCATTCTGGGCCTGGTTGCAAAATCCCACTGGTGTAGGTAGGGTAAAGACCTGGCTCGGGGCTTGGAGGCTGGTAGGGTGGGGGCAGCCTCCCTCCTGGCTCCTGCTCACTGGGTAGTGCTGCCGGGGTGGGTAGCGGGATGGAGGGGTGGGAGCCTGCACACCTCCACCCTGCATACCTCGGGGCTCTCCTTTCTCCAGCCTAGGGAGGCAGGCTCAAGAGTCCGCAGGTCCGTGCTGGGGACACAGGTTCCACTTCGCAAGTCCCCAGCCCTCAGTTTGGGATGCCCGGGCAAGTGGGACTCAACATCCTGCCTAAGCACATATTCTGGGGTCCTGGGCTGGAGCCCAACAATGCCGCTGTATTAGGCGTTTGGATGCACTGGGGTCACAGTTTCTTTTTGGGGTGATAATATTCTGGAGTAAGTGGTGATGGTCGCATAACCTTTGGAACACACTACAAAAGCCACTGAACTGTACTCCTTAAAACGATACACTTGCAAGTGAGAAAGTCTGACTCTCCAACAAGGGAATCAAAAATTATAGAGCCTATGGGGCTCTAATACGGAAAATGCTAAAAATGCCAACGGTTTGTATAGCCGAATACAAGACGGCTTCTACAAGGAACTTGTGGGCTCACCCTGAGCTGGTATTTTTTAACTCTATTTTAAAATGAGGAAACCGAGACTTAGAGGGATAAATATCTTTTTCAGAAAGACACAAGACTGGTGAAAAGGAATTCCACCCCTGCTGGTCTGGCCCCAGGTGTGGTTACCCACAGGACACCACGTCAACATTGCTGCTTAAAACTGTAAGTTTGAGGCTTTGAAATTTTTGTTTCCTCCACAAAGTTGTGGCTTTGGTTTTCTTTCCTTCTTGATGTTTGATTCACAAGACGATGTCTGCAGACCGCCTACTAAGGGGAAGCGCATATCACAGTTTGAGGTGATTGGGGGATGGGGCAGACGACGAGTTTTCCAGGACCCTGCAAAGCACTAGTGTGGGAACGGTGGCTTTCCCGCTAACACAGCTCAGTAAGCTTGGGCTCATCCCAGGGTTCCTTATTACATCAGATGTTACCTTGGTCAAGTGGCAAGCGCACTAGGCCTTTTTGGGTCTACCTAGCTCATAGGGCTGGCATGGAAAAAATTAGTTAATGGTTGTAGAGAAGTTAGCATACTGCCTGGAAGTCAATAAGCACTCAATACGCGTTGGCTGTTATGCTGACCTATTTGAAAAAAATAAACTGCAATCTTTACTTTCGGAAAAACGCCGCCAAAGGCCCGCAGTCCAGCCACTGGCAGGTGTTGCGTAGCACCTTCAGCATCAGGGTTTAGAAAAACGCTCCTCCGGGTCAGACACTGACCGGCGACACTTGCGGGGGGTGGGGCGCCCATTCCCGCATTTACGGCTGCAGAACGTGGCCGGCAGGATAAGCCGGGCCTCGCGCGCCCACGAATCCGGCACACCCGGGGCTCGCCGGCCCAGCCCCCAGGCCACCAGTCTGCCGGGGCTCCATGTGCTCGGCTCTTCCCCGCCCCTTTCTCAGGCCTTCCCAAGCCCCGACCCCAGCTCGAGCCCTGTGGGAGCAGCAGCGGCCTCGGGCCCCACGCCAACGGTCACCCCAGTTCGCACAGCCTTACTAGATTAAAGGGTCCTCTCCGGCGCTCCGTTGGGCCCAGGTTCCGCAGTACAGGGAGTGAAGCGTGGAAACACCCGGAAACACCGAGGCGCGGCGTCCGTCACTTAATTGCGTCGTTCCTGTGTTGACGCAGCGGATAGGGCACGGCGGCCGCCCCTCCCTTCTCATTGGACGCGGCTTCGGATTGATTAAGCCAATAGGGTGGCTCTTAGGGAGAGGGCGGAATTGGGGAGTTGGCGGAGTCCCAGTGGAGAGGCTGGGTTCCTGCAGAGTGTCGCGGCTGGCCGGGCCCGGGAAGTGCCTACCTTGGGTCCCCGGCATCTCCCAGGCGACTCCTTCCGAAGCCTAGGTACCCCACAGCACCCGGGTACCTGCTGTACTGACCCAGCCCGGAGACGTCCTTTCGCCGCTCGGGGCCACTGTCTACAAAACGGACTTGGAGAGGAGGAAAGTTTGGCAAAGGGAGGCACTGAGATGAGCGAAAGAAGGGAACAGGCGGTGATGTCTCTGGCTGTGACCTTGGGTAGCTGAGGCTAAGGACCCGTGGCTCCAAGGTGCAGAGGAGCGGGCGCTGAACTGCAGTCAGGAGCGCTTGGTTCTAGGTCTAGTTGTTGGCTGTGTGACCTAGGACGAGTTTGTATCTTTTCTCTGCCTTTTTACTTATGTTGGAACAAGGAAGATTGATATAATGTGCTGATGTTCTCCAGGACAAATTTTGTTCATACAATCAATATTTATATAGTTTTTTTTGGCTGCTGTGCCTGTTCCTGCTATCAGCCGACAACTATCAGATCTTAGGAAAATGGAAACCTGTGCAAGTGGCCAGAAGTGATGGCTTTGTGAGGAGAGGTGGGTTCAGATCAGGACGCTTGGTTGTTGCCTCTAGCAGTCCTGGCACACCGTGTGCCCTGCTAACCCAGGCCACTGAGAGTGGCTGGACCCATTAGAAAATAGGTTGTGGGGTTTATTGGTTGTACTCGTGTGTGAAGGAGACAGGGCTGAAGAGACAAGGCACTGTAGCAAGTTGGAAGGAGTTGGCTTGAGGCTTGCTGAATGAATGGCGAACAGCCAGTGAGCTCCACTGAATATCCACTGAGGGAACAGTGGGGTAGGCACAGGATACACCGTGGGGGCCTGCAACAGGCACAGAGAGAAAAGATTAAGGAATATTTGCTAATATCTAGGTGGTTCTGATGCCGGGGTTCTTGTTCACGAAGCCGAAGAATGAGCTTCACAAACAGTCAAGGTAGGAGAGCAAAGTACAGGCTTTTATTTAGAGATAAAGTGAAAGGACAGAGCTCCCAGCTCACACCAGGAGGGGATAAGAGAGTCCGTAGTGGTGCGTTGTCTCGGGGGTTTTATAGGCAGTTGAGGATTTTTCGAGAACATGAAAGAAATTTAGGGATGTGGACTTGCATTACCTGCCCTGTCCTCAAGGTGGGCTGGGTCATAGTCTGATTGCCAGGGCTGACAGCGGGGTCACGGGTTATGCTGATACCCTTGCAAAACACTCAAACATTCCAGTCCAAGTTGCTCCTGGCCTTTTGACCTTTAACTGATCTCACTGAAGATGCCTATATTCTTAGGTATCTTTCCCTAGAGAATTAGTGTGACTTTGACTCTGCATAATGCTTAAGAGTTTCAATGGGAACTTCTTTCCCCATTGTTATGTTGCTCTAACTGTAAATATTCCTCCCTGTTTTTCCCGGAGGCCCTCACCCTACTCTGACTACACCCATGGTCCCTGTCTCAGTTTGTCTTACCACCAAAAATGTAATTCATTTTTCATTTCATTTCCAGAATTTAAAGCCAAGGCAATGAAAGTTTTCTTTGAAATGGCATCAGCATTTAATTTGACCACATCAAAAATAAACAATATTTTTTGTAGCCCTTGCCATGTGCCACATTTTCTAAGCCGGTTTCATATTTTCATTCTTTTAATTACAACAACCCTGTGAGGTAGGTATTATCACTTTACTGATGAATTGAGTCACAGAGAGGTTAAGTAACTTGCTAAAGGTTACACAGCTGCTGAGTGGCAGATGCAGGATTCAAATCCAGGCAATTACAATCCAGAGTTTGTGCTCTCATGGCAAAAACTGTCATAATGAAAGATGAAAAACATACTTTAATTTGGTACAAAGTATCTACAACTCATATCACAGAGAAAGGCTTATTGTTCCAATATATAAAGTATTCCTACAAAGAAACTCAATAGAAAAATCAGCAGTAGCTATACCAACCATGCAGAAAAGGATATAAACAATGAAAGGAAATTCAATCTCACTCAATATAAGGAATATTTAATTTAAAATTCCTTTGACATGTCCTTTTTCATAACCAGATAGGCCAAATCCAGAAGTGAGGCTCTCATACAATCTGTAAGGGAGACAATTTGGCAATATAGCAATATTTATCAAAATTAAAAATGCACATATCTTTGACATAGCAATTACACGGCTAGGAATTAATCCTAAAAATATATTTGTTTATGTACAAAAGAATTAGATACAGGGAGCACTGTGTAACAAAGTTTGGAAGCTGTCTTAATGACCATTAGTAGACTAGTTTAAAAAAAATGATGGTATAGTCATTCAATGGAATACTGTGCGCTGAAAAAAAAAAACAAGGAGGCTCTTTGTACTGATACAAAATTAGGTCTAAGATAGATTCTAGGTTGAAAAAAGCAAGAACAGTACACCTACACACTCCCATACACAACACAGAAACAAAAAGAGACAATTACCTCAATATTTGTACATTTATCTATCTATCTACCTTGAAAATCATGAGTTCACACCAATATATCTAATTGCAGTCCGTCACCACAGGGCTCATTCAGGTTTTCTCCCTTTCCATATTTGTGTCTCTCTTCTCCAACAAAGAAGTCCCCATTATCTTTATTTACTTTTTGGTCAATCTCTTTGTGTATCCATGCTTATAGGAATCTCTGTTACCACCCCTTCTAAGATGCAGATACCCTCCTAATCCCTTACTGTTTCTGAGAACCTGTGCTGGGCCATATTCTCCACCCCCTCACCAAAGATGATGCCTTCCTCGCTCCTCTTGGGCTCTAACACTCCAGATGGGGATATAGTATTAGACAGACAAAATCCTTGCTTTCAAGGAGCTAATTCTCTAATGGTAGGGAGGGGCAACAAAGATAAAAAACATCAGGTAATGATAAGTGCAATGAAAAAGTAAAATAGGGCAATGTAATCAGAAGCAACTGGGCTGTTCTTGTGGGTTGGTGATGTGTGCATTATTCTCTTTATGCCCTGCCCTCCTCCTCCTTTGGCCACTCTGTGCATGTCTACAAAATGCATTATATTGGCTCCTCTGCTGCCTGCTTTCCAATTGAGTTCTACCAGTAGGAGATAGGTGGGTGAGAGGAGAGAGAAATCCCTGCCTGCTTTGGGATGTACTTTCTGGTACTGGCCCTTCCTTGGGCTCCAGCTCTTACTGGGCTCCAGAAATTTCATTTCCTCAAGTCCCCTGGTGGCAATAGCTTCCTGCTGTTGCTAGCATATGGATGCCCCAGTGGTCTTATTTCCCTTTACCTTGCTTACACCTTTGTTAACAATTCCTTCATTAGACTCTCTTGAACCATCTGAGTTGGATTATATTTTAAGGCTCTTTGAGGAAATAACTCTGTTTCAACAACTATTGGGAACAATTTTTTTTCATGTCAATACTTATTCTTATACAATACGTTTTCAAAAAGTCAGTATGACTGGTTGAAAAAAAAGAAAACATTAGCCAGGTTTGTCTTTCTGGAACTGAGTGCAGAATGGATGCCCTTCTTGTCCTGGCCCTGGCCTGAGGGCTAAGTAGTTTGAGTTGTGCAGTAAAGGGGGTGGTTTGCATGCTGTTGTGACTCTATCCCCTAAGGCATCCAGCTTATCCAGGTAATGCCAGTTTTGGTTTCTTTAAGATACAGATCAAATTTCCTTCATCAGGCTTTGTCCTCAGCCATGCATTTCTCCACAACCCCTCCCCCTAGGAACCACTGGAGTCAATGGAGCCCTTTTTGAACAAACAGGCCATTGCAGGAGCCTACTTTTCCACATTCTTTTATAACTTTGCCTACTAGGTTCCAAGAATTGTGTTTCCATTTGGAGGTATTTTCAAATAATTGTTTAAAACTCTCCCTGCCTACTGCTGAGCATTTGCAAGCCTGGGGTCTTCCAAGGATGGTCTAGATTGAAGAATGAGAAGGGGCTTGCATGAAGAGCAGTTTGTTACAGTTCCCATGAGCACCATTTATTTCCTCAGCAACATGGAAAAACATTAAAAGGATGTCCAGTGTTTTCCGTGACTGACTTTATCAGTGTCAACATCTTTATAGACATAGGAAACTATAGATTGAAAGAAGGAAAAGAAGTCTTGCAGAATAAGAGCAGGGGAAAAAAACTGAGGCATGTAATTGTTCCAAATCTTACTGCATCCCTGGTTTCTTCTGCATATGAATTTCTGTTTAACACTGATAGGAAGATTGCCTTTGGGGACATGAGGAAGGGAGTAGGGAAGAATTCGGTTTCATTTTAGCCTTAGGAAGCTACAGGACTTGAAGCAGAACTGACTTCATCAAGACACCTATGTGTGCTTATGCCTGGGGAGGCTTTTTGAAAACCTGGTGGGCATGTTGTTCCTGACACCAGGAGAGGACATAACGGACTAGACTAAGCTTCCTGTTATTTCTGAGATCATGTATGTAGACAATCAGATAACCCAAGAAGGCTAAAGGGAGGAACCATCTCAGCCCCTAATTGTGTTCCCCCACCAAAACCTTCCATCTCTCAGAGGAATCCACACTGAAAGCTACCTATTTTCACAAAATTAATTTCTATCTTGTGTTGTCCTAGATTTGACTACCTAGTCCTCTGTTAAGCATTAGAAAGGGTAGTTTGAGCAATTGTGGTGACCCCACCTTTTTAGATTAGGAAAGTATTACACTATGGATAAATAAGACAACATATTTTAGGGTGTTTCATATATTAAAAGGAAGTTATTTTATAAATGTTGCAACTATTGTTAGCCAACACTTGAAATACAGACTAGAGGTTCAGACTGTGTGCTATGGA